AGCTCTCTTCCTCCTGTATTTTCTTCCATTTTAATGACGCCTTTTAATTAAGAAATGCTATTTGCTAACGTTCGCGTTTAGTATTACCCAAAACTTTAGCACAGCCTCTAGCATTATGTGAAACAACCGATGTGCCTTCTAGCATTATGCAAGTAACTGTTTGCTGTTTAATTTACCATGTCTGCTGATAGTTTGCACATTCAAGCCAGAGGAAATTTTCTCAGCTAACTGTCCTCCTCTGCTTATGAGCCACTCATTTTTAGGTAAAGAGCGGCCTCTACTGGTTAAGGCAATTGCTGTGATTTAAAAAAAAGAAAAGGAGCCTGCCATGGATTACGTCACCACCCAAGCCAGTGCTCAACTACCTTAAACTACAGCACTAAACGAAAGCTGAATAAAAACTGTGTATAAGCACTTATGCACACTGACCGCATGGCTCCATAAATTTCCACTGCAAAACAGCGTAAATATACAATGCATGCAGACACCTGCACCTAAAACGTAACGAGGGGCAGGATGCTTTTGTAGCAAGCCATTTGTTATAGTCAGCGGTGGCAAAGTGCTCATGTGAGAATGGTCATGCTTCAAAATTAATAAAATGTAAGTTCTCTAGATTCAAAGTGTGGCACCTTGGATCAGACTAAACACACCAGAACACATTACAATGTGTTTTATGTTTAATAAGAGAATTTTTGTTTGATTAAATGGGGTTTATCCTTTTTTTGGATGCTTTAATCATGCTGTGACGACAGAGACCAGTTCTCTGTGTAGATTCTGGGATGAGGAGCAAAGTCGGAGTGTAAGCTGGCATCTGGGCTGGAGTCCATCTCGGTATAGCACATCCACTTCAGTTTTTTCACCCTCCATCCCCCTCTGGCAGGCTGGGACTATGAACTAACAACAAAGCACAAACATATATATGTCCTGGAGAAATACCTTTGGGCATATCTAGAGAATGGACCTCCCAGCTCGTTATGCTGTATTTACTCTTATGTGGGTTCTTCTGATAGGAGGAGAATGGTTGAAGCAATACAAAGGTACCGCGTGTGGATGGCCCAGAAATAAATCTGCCTCTATGCTCCATGATTTAGAACCTAGAAGCAACCCAAATGGTGCTGCTTTATCACTTTGCCAATTTTCAGAATTTACATAATGATAATTAACATTTTCTATGTCATTTCATTTTATTAACAGAATTAAACCAAGACTTCAACTTGTTACAGGGAATCAGTTTTACTTATAAATAGCTATAAACTCAAGATAGTGAGACGCATCCTAAAAACATCTGGAAGCAACTTTTTTAAGCTCTTTTTTAAACTTTGATTTTTAGCTTAACTCTGACACCAAACGTATTAAAAAAGAAAAAAAATAAGAAAGAAAAACAATCATTACAAAAATGTAACTTGAAACATGTGCAGGTTCTGTTGGGTCACGATCAATAAAGTCTAATTTCTTTAGTTTTAGATTAACAGAAAAACTCACAGAAGAGCAATTGTTGCATACAGATGATCACAAATTGCATAGTCGGGATAGTCAGAGAACAAAGTAACGCTTTATTTTACAGCCTGGTTTTACACATACAGTACTATTGTAGAAATCTCTAAGAAGACATGAGTCATCAGGTACTCGCCATTGCAAAATTTGCATTTTATAGGCTGTAAAATTAAGCTTTAGCAATTAGTATCATTGCAAATGTATAATCAGACATTGTAGACAGCACTACATAAAAATTAAACAGACTTTTCAGTGATTTCCCCCACCCCCATCCCACAACAAGAAATGAAACATGAAAAACACATACATTTTGAATATAGATTTTTTTCACCCTCATGGGTAAATTAAATTTATTCTTTTTTTTTTATAATTTGTCAAATGTACATAAATTATATTTAATGCATCAAAAACCAAATGAGCAAATCAAATAACCTCATTTTTTTTAAATAAAAAGAGGTAACAGAAAAGAGAACAACATTCTTTGTTGAGATCATTTTTAAACAAGTATTGGTCAGGCATTTCATTAACCTGGGAAAGCAAAGTGCTACACACAACAACCACTGAAGACAGTTCACCATACACCTTAATGAGGATTGGACTGAAGCACCTTTTCTTAGCTTAAAGCTAAAATGGAGATTCCAGGGATTTTTTTTTCTTCTTTTTAAATTTTCCTTTTCACAAAAAAACAAAAGAAAAATCAAAACAAAGAAACAAAAAAAAAAAAACAACTCCATTGTATGTTTACAGTCTACCTTGAACAAACCATTAGCCAAGTTTACCCTTTTCCTTGAGAGGGGCATACTTGCAGGGACAATGTTCGATTTCAAGTTAAAGTAAGTACGTGAACTGCTTGACTCAACAGGCTGCTAAGACCTTGGTTTACTATATTTTCCTCCAGGATGGAGCTTTGTGTGCAAATAAAGGCATACAATTCCTTCATGAGAAATAAACATGGAATTCAGCCATATGCTTTCAAATAGTAATCATATATTTAATTGATATACATATATTGCCACCATTGGCACATATGATATTGCACACAGTGATGAAATGTTGCACAGAAAGAAAAAAAAAACAAAACGATATTTTTGTGGGCAAAAACATTCCAAAATTACAAATAATGTGGAATAATGCTGAAAAGGTAAAACTACATAAAAACAAACAAAAAACAAACAAACAAAAACCCCCACAAAACAAAACAAGACATGCTTGCTACTCCCCATTAATTGAGCAACTTACAACTTACACATAACTAACCCAAGCCATGAAACAAGCATTTTAAGGGGTGGGGTGGGGCTTTCCCGTAACAACGGATACCATTTCAGGCCACTACTGATGTTCCCAATCAGCCCCTGCTCTCCCTGCTAATGCATATGGCTGGTGAAGAGCCATCTCTTCTGCATCGTCTTGCATCTAGGTGACCACCCCCTTCCATGTTTACATGTAGGCCGATACCTGGATGGCTAGGGAATGGGGATGGCAATAAAGTCGGGGGGGGGGGGGGGGGCGGGGGGGGGCTGAAAGGTAGCAGAAAAAAGTTAAGAATTCTGCTCCTATTTTTCTAAAGAGTTTGTAACAGACACTTTTAGCACCACGAGTCGTGCGCTAGCACACAAGGGGGCTGAGACACAAGAAATAGAAGAAAAAGGAGTTTTGAAAAAAAGAAGAAGAAGAAAACAAAAAGAAGCCATAACTGCGATCCAAAGCACCAGGCCAGCGTGTAAGCATGCGGAGTGTGTAAGGCACCAGGTTGTTTATATGCTGAAGAGGATGCTCCCAATCAGGTATCATTTAGGCTATACCAAAGGCTCCAAAAATAGGTGGTCAAGGACAGTCTAGTTTGCTGGTTTCCAGTCAATCTAAACATGGGAGCAATCATTTAATTCAATGCTGAGGTAAATCTGACAGTATCTGATTGTTGCCAGTTTCTCTGGAGTTTACTGACAGAGTTTATAAAACTGCTATCACACATCTATGAGATGCGACTGAACTGGATTAGAACCAGTTGTTTTCCGTGTGGCAGCCCAAATATTTACAATTAGACCAGAACAGAATCTCATCACCCCAGGTGGGTATTTGGGCTTACAAATCTAAAGCAGAGCTATGAGAATGTATCCAAAGTAGCCCCACACTGAACTTCACACCCTCAGATCTTAAAACGCAAGAAAGGAATGTGCACATCCAATGACATAACAGACATTCACCAACAGGTGAACCAGGCCGTCTTCACCTCGGCTAAGCCAGGCAAGCGCCTCAGTGGCCGTCCTCATAGTGTGATGGTGACATTTCGATTACTGTTCACAAGGTCGCTGCTTTTACAATCATGCTTTGAAACAACTTCCACTAGAACTACACCGAGCCTTTTGGATGGTAATCCCCCCCCCAGTCCTCGAACTTGAGATTCATACAACATAGGCAGATAAAGATACGTATGGAAGGGTCTTTGAGCCAATATTTTGGGAGACCAACGAAATTGTAGTGCAGATAAACATGCAGCAACAGCACTCCTTGGCACCATTTAGACTTTTATGACTAAACAAGATCACAAAAAGTTTGTTTCATATGTACTAACCGATTGCGCTCTTCCAGTTTTTACTATGCCAATCAACACAGTATATTCAGGGTCTTTTGCCTTGTTAAATAATCTGCAGTTCAGGCCATTTGCTACATGTTGTCTCTGCATTTCCTCTATCAAATACACATTTAGTACCTTTAAACTGAACACATTGCATTAACAACGAGACACAAAGGTAGTCTATTATATATCCATCTGCATGGCAACAATTTCAACTGAAACAAAAGTTACAATATTAATATATCTTTGAATGCCTCTGGCAAATGTCAAGATCCAATGACCAGTTCCTTATATGCAATGCATATTGCACAATAAATAGAGCACTTATTTCATTTCATGAAAATGCCTACACGTTCCTTTGTTTTGTTTTGTTTTTAATATATATATATATGTACTGCATGAAATCTTATCAGTTTCCGAAGCAGGCCTAGCCCTCATATGATTTATGTGTAAACACCTCTCTACTCACAGGTAAAGGTAAATAGGATGGCAAGTACATGTGACAACCTTTTACAAAGTTTTGGAATTTTGGTCTAAAAATTAAAACATCTGATTTGTGCTGAAGTCATTTAACTCACATGAGAAGGAAACTTTTTTGTCTCTCCTTTGAACTCGGCAATAATTCAATTTGAACATTGCAAACACTTTTTTTTCCTCTCCTCTTTACAATAGCTTTAACTGGTACAAAAGTTTTCTGTTAATAAGGGAAATAAACAGTTCAATATCGTTTGTCAAGTAGGAAACAATGTTCAAATATAATGTTATTACTTTGTTTAGCAGCCTGTTACTGTATTAATGGTGGTTAAGTGGGGTAACATCCAGCGATGAGTGACAACATGTCATAACTGTCAGGTCGTGGAGGTTTCTTATATTGTGGGTGATGCTCCCTTGGTTAAACCAATACAGTTAAATCTTTAGATTTCTTTCATTATACAGTAGAGTGTTTTCTTTTTAATTATAATTCTCTTGTTATTTTCATTACTCTGGCATGTTTTTCCTCTCTCTCTCTCTCTTTTTTTTCTTTTTTTGTTTGCTGTCTATATCAATCCTCGTCTCCATCGTCCTGCTGCATCTCCTCTTGTTGCTGCAGCTCGCATGCCCTTTTCTCCCGCTGTTTCTCCTGGATCTTCTTCATCTCCTCGGCATATTTACAGAAAGTATTCCCAAATTTGGACCACACTTTGTAGGGCACTGTAATTGAGTTGCGGTACGTTGGCTTCACCTCGCTTACCCTCATAAACACACCGTACTTATTGGATCCGACGTCGAAGAAAAACCGTTTGTTGTCCACAGTCAACGATGACCCTTCGGGCAACTCTGCAGGTTCGTCCTCTACACCATAATCGTCAATAAGTTTAGCCAAAGCGTCACGAAACTCAATAAGTCCCTGGGCAGGCAGAGCAATCGTCTGGCCTTGCGTGAATCCCAAACCGGGCCCCCGGTTAACGGTCTGTCGAATCCTCAGAAACCGTCCCCGCTGGTTCTCTTTCAGATCCATATAGTATTTCCGATTTTCTCGGACCAAGAACTCGCTTTTGAGGGCTCGCCTGGGCTCGTCTTGTACCATCCCCGGGTTGCTCGGACCCAGCTGGGCATAATGTTCGATGAAGTCCCCCAAGTAGTCACGGAACTCAACCGCCACGGACATGGAGAGAGTGAGGCGGCTCTTGTTTCCACCGGCCCCGACTTCTGCTATCTTTAAGAAGCGGCCTTTCGCGTTCTGCTTAACGTCCAAATAGAAACGTTTGTTTTGGATGTCAACCCTCTTCGATGCCAGCTCTTGGGTCTCATGCTGGAGCCCGGAGGCCGAGCCCGCCCCTCCTGTCGCTAGGTGCATGGAACCGAAGCCTGGGCCCGTAGCTGCTCCTCCCTGCTCACTTCCACTGTCTCTGTCCGCCATGATGCTGCCTGCCTGCCTTCTCCCTCTGTCTGCTGCACAGCCACAGCGAGCCGGAGCTCTCGCGAGATCTACACAAGAGTATAAAAAAATAAAACGAGAAGGGCGCTTAACGCAGAGCGATTGCCATGTGTTTTAATGCCCTTTATGCCACACCGCACGACTAATGTCATAAGCTGTCACTAACATTGAAAGCGAAACCTACGGTTGTTGGAGGAAATGCGTCTACCAGCCCACTTAAGTTTCATTTCGTCTGTACAACTCCCGAAAAGCCAGGTGCTTTTCCAACCTGGAAAGACCCAAGCTTGCCCTCAAGTTTTTATCTAAGAAAATAGCCTTCTAATGCATCACCGACTTCACATCACAAGTGTATCTGTTTACGTGGGATGTGCTAACGAGTTTACAGATCACCGTTTGCTCTCAAAGAGTTGAAGAATTAATTTTTTTTTTTGATTTACAAGTCACAAGAAAATCGGTCTATACATATTATTTAACAGGACCACATCAGCAGCAATACAAATAATAGCAGGACTGATAAAACGAATAGCTTGTAACGAATAATTAGTTTTCACTCTAGGCGACAGTCAATTATTACATAATTTATAATACGTCTTACCTTTTATACATTGTATTGGATTTCTAGGCTATACTAAACACTGATATCAGCATTAGAATTAGAAAGGAAGGAAGGAAGGAAGTTTAGTTTAAAATATATGCTATGTATAGCTAATAATACAAATAAAAAAAATTATATATATTAATTTTTAGTTTCCGATTCCCGTTTTATTTTATGAATGAGCAGTTTTGTTCTATAACGCCAAATCATGTCAGAAAGGGAGAGAGAGCCGCCATGTTAACTGTGTGGGAATAATATGAGCAGAGGTGGGTCTCACACAACATTGTTTCAGCAACTCAGCTAAGTTTCCCCACCCTAGAGGCTACTTACCTCTGCTTAGATAAAAGACGGAACAACTAGGCTAGCTTTAATACCACCAGTCATTCCTCAGTTTGAAATCTGTAAAGGTGCAATTTTTTTTTACAAAGGTTACATTTTTTATGTAGCAAAACATCCAATGAGCGTGCTCGGTATGCCTACGGGACATGCAAAACAGCTGCCAACATCAAGGCTAACACACACAGAAGGCGTGAAAGTGTAGCAACCCCTCCTGTAGCTTACGTTCATGAAAGAAAGGTGCTGTTTCTAAACTCTGACTTTGTGGCGACTATTTCTAAGGTAATCTTACCCACTTATTCACGCCTTAAGATAGAATTGTGTCACCCAGGTGTCCGAGCAAGGTCTGAACGCTGTCTCAGCGGAGCCCCCTGCAGCTCGCAGGCCTGCCTCATTAGTACTCGGGCCTCCTTCTCTTCAGCTATTCAGCGGCGGCAATGTCTGCTCCGGGTCAAAGCTCTTTCTTTCATTTTATTTTTTTTACTTGCGCAAATGTGAAATTTGATGGGCAGACCTGGGCTATGATAGTTCAGCTCATTTGCTCTGGTAATATTTTGCGCATTTCAATTAAAGCCACTGCATGGATTGATAATGGGAAAAGATCAAGGCATGCCCATCTGGGCCTACACAGATTATTACTGACTAGACCATGACGATCTTAGAGCATAAAAATAAGTAGTAATAAAGCCCCAAATAAATAAATAATAAACCCATCTTAACTTAAATTCTGCCCAAAAAATAAAATACAATAATCAATGCTGGCGATACTTTTTTTTTTTTTTTTTTTTTACACGAAGGACCTTTTTTTTAGTCTTACTTCCGATTTACCTGGAAAACGATTTTGTTTTTTTGTTTTGTTTTTTAAAAAAGAGTGCCAAGACCTTTCACTCGAGGCATCTATGAGCCTGTATAGGGTATCTGTATTTTTTATTTAGCATAAATCTTCTGCCCTTCTTCCGCCTTTTCTAATTCCTTTTTCATATTTACTTCAAACTACTTTAGATTGCCTCCAAATCATTTTTACGACCAAAGATAAACAGCGCAAATAGGTTTTAAATGTAAAAATCGCTCAAATAGTGATTCCGGAGTTTTATTCAAGCGCACTACAAAGAGTTAGTAGGCCTATTATTACAAGAAAATAAAATTTAGTATTCAGTCAGTGACTGTGAGACAGCTGTCCTAGGCCTCGTCTATATGATTACACTGCAGAAAGCCCAGAATTTAAAACATAATTGTTTCCCCCGCCGCTCATTCTTGCAGACTCGTTTATGTGTCGCTGCCGAGTCCAAATAAGGGAAAATGGTAAGATGTTTAACTGTGGGTATCTTTTAGGCACTATTCGTTCTTCACTTCACAAACAAGACCGAGAATTGAACCTCAAACTTTTATTTAGAATAGAAAATATCAACTGCATTGATGGAAACGTTGAGATACGTGATTAATTTCCCTCGCAAAGTTGACCTTTCTTCTCTACCTTTCCACAAGACTGTTAGGCCTGACTGAAGCCAGTCATACAAACAAACCCAACGCAGAAACTTAAAAATAAAGTAAAATAAAATAAAAATAAACATGTATGCATCTTGACTTATAGATACTACTTGATTTCTCAGGCGTTAAATATTAAAGCAGTAATTTAAAATGCTTTACATTTAAAATGCTGTATGCATTCTGTATGTTTATAGTAATCATTTCAAATGCTTATTGTTTAAAAAAGAAAATTCCGGGCTGTGAAAAAAATATTGGGTAATTTAAAAAGTTACAAATATTAAAAATTATAATTTATTTAAACAAATAATGAATAATAAAATGTGAAGCAGGAGGACGCTGAAATATCCGGACGACGCTAAGAGAGAAGTCGCGTTCAAGAAAATTATTCCCTCTAAAATTCCCTGAAGAAGAATTTAGGTCGCTCTTCTACTCTGTCCATCAATAGTGTAAATCAGAGCTGCAGGTGAGGAGACAGAAGCATGTGGGCCTTAAGAGGAAACAATACACTTGACTAATTTTCTCCTTCTTTTAAACGTTCTCTTAATCTTTACCCACCTTTTATATTTTTTATACACATAAACATTCAAATATGACCTATTCTGCGCCTCAAAGGGTGATTCATTCCCCAGTAATTCCCACTTTGATTAAAAAATAAATGAATAAATTGTGATTAAAAACCTAACAACTGCGCGAGGATTAAACCAATGTCTAAACGTGTAACGTGTATGACTGTGATGTTCAGCGTGAGGTTGGCCTGTTGGTTTTCTATGCAAAAAAAAATCAACTAAGTTTGTCCGCACCTGCTCGCAGTGAACCTCTCTCATTATTTCATTGCCACTCCCCAGGAAACTCTGAGTACAAGCTTGTATTCTTTTCATTAAGTGTTTCTGCTGAAGAGAAGTCAACTCTATGCTGTTTTTTTTTTTTAAATGATGTGCCCTTTCTTTTTATTGTTAGTTTTTCTAAATAGATGAGTCCAATAAACACCGCTGTGGATGCACGCGAATTGGGTAAGTCATTCCTATTGCACTGAATGAAGGAACAGCACTGCAAACTTACAGGCCTCGTTTGTGAATAATGTGTCGGATTTAAAATGGCCTTACCTCTCTGGGCCTCAGATTGCAATGGAACCACTCATTTAGAATTTCATCAGACTTTCTAATCAAAGCGTTTACTGTGACAAGCTCATCTTTGTCTGTACAAAGTTACACCTAAAACACTATATACGCCTCTATATACGCAGATTTATGAAGACCCACTAGACAGATGAATAACTTATCAGTTAAGCAATAAATTCATCACCAGTCGGTACTTGGCCTATTTTCTTTCTGACAATTTTAAATTATGGACGTGGATCATACATGCAGGTCTTTTTCGGATCCCGAGATCGCATCCAACGCAGTTTTCAGCCTCAGAAAGTGTTGTCGCAGTTGGTAAAAGACAGCCGCTGTGATCACCTCCCAAAGTTTCTCCCTACATCCCAGCATAGGTGGCATCGCTCCAAATGCAGCTCCATTTTTTTTTTTTCATTTTTCGTTTTTTGTATCAGATCAGACAGATCGGTCGTACAGTGAAGTATTCATGCTTCTGTAAACTCTCCTAAGCAATGTCATATGCTTGGCTGCACGTCAGGACACTTACAGCACAGCAACAATGCGAATGACTTGTAAATAAAGCGTCATTCCACCGAGCGAGACTCCATAACCTACCTTTACCCCGCTCAGTCTGCAGGCGCAGCGCCTTAAAACCTCGACGGCCTGCCGCAGATGGCGAGACGAGGCAAAAGACACATGTGAATGCGCTCGGACTCCTGCGTGACAGCGACACGGACTGCTCCTGCTTGCTTCACAAGATGGACAAGAAACCGAGAGTCGTGGCACGAAGAGCGACACACGCACAATTCAACGCCGCTGCACGTTGCATGATGTCAACACGCAAATGTTGGAAACTCGGTTCAAGGGCGCCACTTCTCGGCGACACTGGGGAATTACAGTATTGTCTTTTTGACTGTAACAGGTATAGGGCAACATTTCTGGGAACTGTAATGCAGGGTAGCGTCTAAAGAAGTGAAATCCGAGCGTAATTTTTGCGTTAATGTTGTGAACTTGTGTGTCCCACTTTGCCAGTGGCAAAATGAATGAATGAATGATCTCCAAATGTTGATTCTGTTCATCTGGACGCAGCGTTTTCAGTGGGAGAAACTTTTAATCACTCTAATTATTGGTTTTCCTATCAAAAATATATTCAAAAACATATGACCCCTGTACAAAGTCCTATGTCCTGGCTCTTTGAGCAGCCACTGAAAAACTAAAGTGACTATTTATAGTAATTCCCAGCCAAGAATTGATAAAGTAGCTCTGATCTTAAAGGGGAAATCCATTACCTATTATGTGATTGCTCCTTAAATGCTTGTTCCACCAATTCCTACATCATCGCATCTATCCCGCACTGGTCTGCAGAGTGCTGTTTAAAAATCGCATTCTCAATTATAGGTGCTGACAGGAGGACTTTAGTGCACACAGTAATGTCTTGTCTATTGTGAGCGTGTTTGACATTAACACTCTATAGGTCTAATTCAAATTTCAGCACCACGGAGGGCAGCCAGGTCTGTTTCAAGCTGGCAGGTGGTGCACGCAAGTAACTCCATTGTGTTATTATAAGTTACAGTATGGTTTTGAGAGTCTTTGGCTTCCTGGTTTTAGATTGATTTATTATAGAATTTATACCCTGACCTTTTTACCTTTTAAAGGTTATTTCGCTTAATCTTGTGCACCTTTCATTTGAGCCAAATTCAAATCTAGCACCCTGCTGTGTCGCTTGTTTGATGAACATCAGCAGTTAGGGTATGTTACTGTCTCTCAACTACTCTCTGGTCAGCAGATGTCGCTCTTTGTGATGCAGTTACTTGAACATCATGTATCCGCATTCAGGCTAAAATCAAACCATTATAAATTTCAACTTTAGTTATATTTGGTATGACGATAATCAGTATTCCTATGTTAATTTGTGTAGTTATGTAACGTGACGTTTGTCAAAGTGCTCTGTCAGAACTACCCTGAATGAACACGTTTAAATATATATTTAAAAAACAACAACACTTTAACAAATAGTTCATCTGCGGTTTGGACCCCGGTGTTGCAGCTCTATAGATTTAATGCGGTCTTCTTTCAACAGCGTTTTTTTTTCTTCTTCTTCTTCTTTTTCTTTCTTTTTCTTCTTCTTCTTCTTTTTTTTAGAGGCAGAGCAGTGAATGTGACCTGAATGCAGGGCATGACTTAATGGGATGAGACGCAAAACTCATTCAAAACAGTCTCTTGAAGACTCCGAAATGCTTTCGCAGCCTTAGTCATCGCAGCCATATGATTTCTCTGGGCTCAGCGGGTTTCCGTGTGAACCTGTTTCGGTCTTTGGAGCGATGCCTTGGCTACAGTGAAATGCGATTTTGAGGAGGGACAGTCATGGATTTTGGATTTCGTTTGTTTCGTTATAACGTGAGGTCGACACCGATAAAAGACCATGGAGTGATCGGCACACAGTAGCGGGGTTTGGGGAGTGAGGAGAACGACCCTTCGGTGCGTCGGTTGCCCGTGTCAGAGCTCCAGTTCTGCGTTTTTTTTCTGTTGAGGGAGCCTCTTGGCAATCGGCATTATTTTCTGTCCGTCTGTGGCTCGTAGGGGAGGCGGAGAGAGAGCCGCGGTGGAAGGCGGCGTATTAGCGCTATAGCTGCCGAGCAGAAATAATTGCTTTATTTTAATTTAATTTTTTTTCTTTTCTTTTCTTTTCTTTCTTCTTTTTTGAAGGGGTGGGGGGAATGAAACGTGGCTTTTGTTTTGCGAGCGGACTACCAAACTTGTGGTTCACTGCAGCATTTTGCGTCTTTTCTCTCCGCTGCAGATGATACAGAAAACCATCATAGCGGTACCCCACCACTGCAATTTTTGGGCAAAGATAAGAGTGGCGTCGTCTTGCAGTTAAGGCTACTATGGCAGCATAGGAAGCATCTTCTGGAGAGAGTGAAACCGCCGATTCCTTGCTTAGCATGTCTACGATGCCTTATTATTAGTAGAAATCAGTGACTGGGTTTGAAACCCAGCGTCACCCCGCGGTTCCAGAGCTACTGTTTACCCACTGAAAATCACCCGAAAAAGCAGCGGATCCCGATGGCATGGACACTTATGCAAGGTCTGCCGCGCTGTCGTGCTACTGGAGCCTACTTGCTGTCTCTTCATTCAACCCAGCTCCATCGCCATCGCCCCGCAGCCGAGAGAGCCCTGCCGCAACGCGACCAGCGACCACCGAGCCAAAGCAGGCGGCATGAGGCTTGATTCAGTACATTTATCCATGCTGGTCATCGGGGTCTCATTCGCCTGCTACTCCCCGAGTTTGAATTCCCTGCAGGACCAGGCTTACAAATCCGCCGTGGTGATCGAGGGCAAGGTGCAGTCTACGCCTGTGAACGTCTCTGCGGAGCCGTACCGTGTGAATGTCAAAGTGCTGGATGTTTGGCCCCTAAACAGCGGGGGTCTGGAGCGAGAACAGCTCGTCACCGTGGGGGAATTTGGATCTGAGGCTCCGTGCACCAAAGTGAAGAAAAACCACAAGTACATTTTTTTCATGGACCCCACTGACGAGCCCTTGGTTTTTAAGGCATCGTTCGCGCCTCTTGACACCAGTGGAAAGAACCTAAAAAAGGATGTTGGAAGGATCTTGTGTGAGGACTGCGGTAAGTCAATGTAGCCCTAATGTGGAATACCGGTGAAGTCCAACCCGGAAGAATCAACGTTGTGTTAACAGCCCCGGGCTTGGGGCTTTTGGTAACAGGCACTCTGGTGAATTGTGGTTATTGTGGCCACAGCATGGCTTGGAGTCACTGGGTACCAAATAGGTGCCTAAGGGGCGTCTATGCAGCAATTTTCGACAACTCTCGCAGGCTCCCATAGCCCACATGATCAATCAAACTCTCTTTCTCTCTCCCATTCTCCCTGAACTGCAATAGACAAGCGCCTCGCACTGTTGCTAGTGAGGAATTGCAGTTTATGTGTACTTTACTATCTGCAGCCAGGAAAGCTGCTTTATTCTTTGACATTTCAGACACATTGCAGTGCACGTTTTACTTGTCGTTAGTCATACAATCATTGCAGTTTTCCAAATATCCTCGTGGCTTCTTTTATGAAACGTCAAACGCTTACATTTAAAGGAGCGAGCACAATTTCAGGACCAGGGACAGCGGCCTGTATCACCGGTATCACGTGTTGAAAATCACGCTGCCCTAGGCAAATTGGCTCCTAGGCTATATTTAGGCTACCGCCCTGCTTTAATGCTTTAATGCCACACTTTGTCGTAGCAGCAGCAGAGCAGGTCTGTCTGTTTGCAGACAGACCTGCTCACATGCTAAGGGCTAGCAGTGTGCTGTAGCTGAATCCTGAAACGTGATGCTGTGATTGAAAATGTCGAATTAACAACTTTCCCACGTCACACTCAAGCATTTTCCTTTTCTTGTTAGTAGTTTAAGAAATAACTTTGGTCTGTAGATGTTGTTCTTAGAGAGTAACTTGAAAACAATATCCAGGGCATTATGTTTGCAGTGAGGCATCATGACCCTGTTAATCGCCATTGAGAGAATCAGGTTTATTGACAGCAGATATTTCAAAGGAAAATAACTTTGCTCTTTTCTTCTTTTGTTAGATTATTTTCTTGAGGATGTGGAAATTACGGAGTACAAAAAAATAAAGGAAACTGCGGTGCAACAGGCTGCACTCAAATCCTGAATTATTGTACATATGTAGATGGACACAGATTTTTGCTTTTTCACTTGATTTGCATAAGCAATGTTGTTTTCAATGCCCTTTACTAGGCTAAAATGAGCCCCTACTACTTTAATTAGAAAGTAGTGCAAGTGTCTGTAACGTGAACTTAAAGGCCACATAGTTCCTTCATTGTGTCTAGGCTATGGTGTTTGCTACTCAGCTGTAAAATCTTACTTGCCTGTCTTCCACACTTCTTCCACAATGTTTAGGACACACATTTGCACTTCCATTGAAGCACTGCGGCCTAAAATGTGATGCGTGTCCTGTACTGCTGCTGTCTTAAATCCACTTAGTCTGTACTCACGAGACACAAATTCTCCCCTCTCCTCTTGATTGTGCCACTCTCACTGTGGCTTTTAAACTCATCATCTTGTTAGAGAGGTAACAGAAAATGGACCCTATTCCCTTTTGGATTCCCTGAACAGCCCAAACAGCCCTTGTCAGTTTTTCTGGCACTTATCAAAGCTTGTCAGTGATGTGATCAAACTGGCACAGCCACCTATTGTGTCACTTTGAGTTACCACACCCAGTTCCTGGGCCTTTTATTTACTTCAAAGAACCCATCAAAGTATGTGGTTATACATGGATATTAAGATCTCCCCAGAGTTTCTTTTCTGACCCCCCTCTCCTCCCCATTTATGGCTTGTCATGCAAACAGTAACAATATCCTCGTGATACTTTCAGTTCCTTTCTTTGTTCAGCACTAACCAAAGATCACCAACTTTATGGTGACTGTTTTAGGCATTTAACTATCTCTTAATGTTTGCTCATATTTTTTTGGCTTAACAAATCTTATTTAGGCCCAGAGACTGATTCCAGGTCTTCTTAGGACCTCCCCAAAACTTGCCTTTAATCCCTTTTTGGCACCGTACAGATGCTGTCTAGT